GACCTTTACCTTCAACTTCTCCACTGTTCTTCTCCAAGTACTTCTCTCCTTAACCAAATACTTTCCTTCTCGTATAAAATTTTGGTACAATTCTATAATTTCTATAAGAATAAATATTTCTTTTTTTCTCTCTGTTCTGTTATTCTGTTGGTTCGTACGTTGTTCATTGTTTTGACAAGAAACAAGATCAAAGTACATCAAAAGAAAAGAAAAAAAATGGAGTTGATGAATAAAGAAACAAGCTATTGGATGATCGCACTACCTGCCGTTTTTGGATCACAAAACCTACACGATATTTCCGTCCTTGGCTATCTCCTCCTCGCCCTCGTCTCTCTCTCTTTACTCACGTGGGCTCTCGCCGGCGGCGGTGGCGGCGCATGGAAAAACGGCCGTAACCGGGTGGGTCGGGTGGCGATTCCGGGCCCTCGGGGCATACCAGTACTCGGCAGTCTTTTTACTCTCAGCCGCGGCTTGGCTCATCGGTCGTTAGCCGCCATGGCTTGGAGCCGAGCCAACACCGAGATTATGGCTTTCAGTCTCGGCTCTACACCGGTGATCGTAGCTTCTGAGCCGAACACGGCTCGCGAGATTCTGATGTCGCCTCACTTCGCGGACCGGCCGGTTAAGCAGTCGGCTAAGAGTCTCATGTTTAGCCGCGCCATAGGTTTCGCGCCGAACGGAGCATACTGGCGCACGTTAAGAAAGATCGCCTCGACTCACCTCTTCGCTCCCAAGCGTATTTTAGCACACGAAGCTGGACGTCAGCTAGACTGCGCCGAAATGGTGAAAGCTGTGTCATCGGAGCAAAACGGCGCCGGATCCGTCGTTTTGAGGAAACACTTGCAACTAACCGCCTTGAACAACATCATGGGGAGTGTTTTTGGCAAAAGATACGATCCTCTGACTCAGAAAGAGGATCTTGATGAGCTTACATCAATGGTTAAAGAAGGGTTCGAGCTCTTGGGTGCATTTAATTGGTCTGATTATCTTCCATGGCTCGGTTATTTCTACGACCCGATTCGTTTAAACCAACGTTGCTCAGATCTCGTTCCTCGAATCAGAACATTCGTCAAGAGAATCATCGACAAACACAGATCTAGAGTCATCAGTAACTCGGAGAAGACAAGAGACATTGGAGACTTCGTTGATGTCTTGTTGTCTTTAGACGGCGATGAGAAGCTTCAAGAAGATGACATGATCGCCGTTTTATGGGTAAGTATAGTTCGTATGATAATTGAAATGATAGTCGTATTTAATTTAACGGTATAAGTGTACGTAACGGTCTAGTTGTAGTGTTGTTTTTGCATTTATTGGTACTAATAAGTATTTTTTTGGTTTTTTGTTTATATAGGAGATGATTTTTAGAGGGACAGATACAACGGCGTTATTAACGGAGTGGACCATGGCTGAGCTAGTACTGAACCCTAACGTGCAAACCAAGCTAAGGAACGAGATCGCAACGGCCGTGAGCGATGGTGCTGACGTGGCAGATGCTGACCTGGCGAGACTCCCGTACTTGAACGCCGTCGTGAAGGAAACTCTAAGGCTGCATCCACCTGGACCACTTCTTTCGTGGGCCCGTCTATCCACGTCAGACGTCCAGCTCAACAACGGCATGGTGGTTCCAAAGGGAACTACCGCAATGGTCAACATGTGGGCCATTACTCACGACCCGACGGTTTGGTCCGACCCATTAATCTTTGACCCGGAGAGGTTCACCGGGTCTGGTGACGTGGACATTCGCGGTGGGGATCTAAGGCTTGCGCCGTTCGGAGCCGGGAGGAGAGTTTGTCCGGGGAAGAACATGGGTTTAGCGACTGTGACTCGGTGGGTGGCAGAATTGGTTCGACGGTTCGAGTGGAGTCAGGACCAGAACGAGCCGGTTGATCTTGGTGAGGTCTTGAAGCTTTCTTGTGAGATGGAACATCCGTTACGTGCCGTTGTAACGGAAATATTTTAAAGTTTAGGGTTTTGACTTCTGTCAACGTTTTTAAATTGTTATCCTTTTAAGTTCTATATTTATATGTTTTTTTCGTCTAGAGAGGTTTGGGTTGCCGATTGCTTGCCGTTTTAGTAATTTATTGAGAGAGTGTGTTTTTCTTTTCTTTTCCCCAATTAGTAATTTGGTTTGGTATGTAATATCACTATCCTTAGCAGGTCTAAATGAATGGAGTAATGACGAGGATATCAATTTTGGTCTTTTGTTTTCTTACGAAAATGAGATATTTTTGAATCAATAGAAACAAACCACAAACCAATTGGGACGTGGACAAAACACTGAGATAGTTGTGCTATATTGTAATTTGGACGATTTAAATCAATTTGGTGCATCTACTCGGTAACTTCTATCCGAAAGATGTTGTCATTTTGTAATAATTGAGGAGGAGGCGATTCAAGTGATATCATCAACTCATCACTAATGTATATGTTTAATATTTCTAAACTAATTAATTTACAACAAATTTGTTCTCAAACCCGTCGTTATGGCCAATTTTTCTTGTTTTTTGTCAACCGTTACACTAAACTTATATACTAGAAATCGGAGATACCAAGTCAAACCGGTAGATAAAACAAGCCAACAAAACAAACAATTTAAATTTGACTCTAATTTTTCCAGTTAACAAATCGTTCGTTAAGATTTATACAACGAGAAATCAAAATTAAAGAAAAACGTAGATGAGAAGCTCTTTGCAAGGGCAGAGAATTCATTTAGGTGCGTAAAAAAGTAGTATTCCACTGGTAATATTGTTATCTTGATCAGATCAAAACAATATATTTCGAAAGATTTGCAGTTTACATGTCTCCATAAGATTATCTTTAATGTATATTTCTATTTTTACTCTAATATAGAGATAGATTTCTCCACAATGTATTCTTTAATTTTAGAGTTAAAATTTGTTTAGAGTTAAAAATAACATTCTTTTATTTTAAAGGTGAAAAATGAAATAGAATTCGGTAAGATTTTATTCAGAATTATAACAAAAAAAAATAAAGTAGGGTTGAAGATGCTCTAATGCAAGATATTTTATAAAGTAATGCTTTTAATTATTATGAATATAAAGATGATAGACTTCGACATTCACATTTTACTCTATCATAATCTTGTTCTTCCAAGGGAGAATCCGAGCCACCCTAATCCACACACGCGGAGTTATCTTCTAATAATGGTCGAGTTGTTTTCTTAGTGACATAGTGATCATGTACAAACATCCAATAAGTCATATTACAAGAGTTTCCAATAATTTAGTTTTTGATATGTTGATAAGTAGCATTCGATTACACATTTGACAAAACTAAGTAACAATATTAGTTATCTACTTGTAACTGATCGGAGAGAAAACATTGAATTTAAACACAAAACATAAGCATAGTCATAGAGAAATGGCATCACACTCTAATTCAGGGATGGAGCAATACACACTTTTGTTTGAGTTTTATCTGTCGGTGGGAAAAAAAAATTGAAGTCAAAATCAGTGAATTGATTAAACTTTGCCATGTTCACCTCCCATCAAGACAAAATCTGTTAACTTTGCTGGACAAAAATAAATAGGCTCTTAGTAAGCTATATGATGATGTTGAAGGATTCAAGAGACGGTGACGTTGCGTTTTTTCTCTAGTGAATAGATATTTACATGACATAATATTTTGATATTATATTTGTTGTCGACTAGAAAACAAATTTTTTTAAATGATTAATTTGTAATAAATTACAAATTCAGGCGATTTTTTTTTTGATATGATGGTTATAATACATATATGGCTGTGATGATCTAACTACTAAGTTTATATATTTACTTTAATTGTAAAACATTTATTCAAAAAGAAAACATTGTTAAATATCTTTTTTTTGTTTTTTGAAAGACTTTAGAAGTTCCGGTTCTTTGATCCATAATCTTTCCCGGTATCCGGGACCAGCCGTTGATAATACCGCATTTAAAGCGTAAATCATCTCCAAATAGAGTTGAATTAGTGACATTGAACTTGAAAATTTATTCTCAAGACCAATAGGCCACCAACGACTTGGTAACATCATTAAATACCTAATCAATCTGTAAACATTTATTTGGAAATAAAACATTTATACGTATATTCTAAGTTTTTTCTTGCTTGATGGTAATATGAATCTTGCTTGATGGCTGAATAAGCGTTTTCGTCTTATCAGTGGATGATGTTAAAGAATCTAAACCGAAACCCGAGATTTAAAGTGGCTCACGCACAACTCAGTTGTTCATTAGGGGATCCAAACGCGAAATTTTTGCAAACTTATGCCATGAAACTCTAGATTGTCAACTTCATGTTACCACTTGCGGATTACATAAATTGAACTTTGGAAAATTTTAAACTATTTTTCAAAAAGTTGCCAATTTATATATATTTGGAGATTTCAAAATTTAACCAAAACATAGCGACTATTATTTTTACTTCTGCTAACTTTTTTTTGGATTGGTAACAAGTAAATCGGTATATCTTTGATTTCAAAGGAAAATTGGGTTGAATAACAAAAAAAAAAATTATAATTCAAAATCTACCTAATTAACTTAAATCTAGTGGATATGGTTTGACTACATGGGTTAATTTTGGTTAGTTTCCTAATTATTATTGATTTTTGCTTATTGAACAAATTAGCCCTATTTCAAACACATGGTATCCATATATATAACTTGATTTCACATTGTATTCTCGTTAAAAATCCAGTATCTTGGGAGAAGACCATATAAAGGGTGTGATTGGTTGGGCTGTAGAAAGTAGTTACAGCCTCAAAATTTTTGTACAGCCCTAAAAATTACCAATCAGTCTTTAGATTAATTTTAAAAGCTAAAGTAAAAAAAAAATTTTTTTGCTGTAACTCTCTTATTTCATACAACCATATTTTAGTTACTGTAGAAAAAAAACAAAATGATGTACACTTGTACTTTCCTTTTCGCTTTTTATTTTTATTTGTTTCAGATTTTTTTTTCTCCTTTACGTTTCTCTCTCCTTCACGTTTCTCTCTCCTCTTAGTTCTATATATATATATTATAATATTATATACAATACACAACACATTTTGTTATAAAATAATTTGTGTTACGTAATTTACAATTTTTATATACATAGTTATATACAGATATGTTATATATATACACACAATTTTTACACTAATTTATATAAAAACATTAATATATATGTACTACTTATACAAAATATTAATATATATGTACTACTGATTTATAATATTAATATATATGCATATTTTCTTTTAATTTTATATAGAAACAAGATTATATTAGTTAAATACATTTTCCATATACATTATTAATATAAATATCAATTATACCTACCAAAAAGAACAAAAAAAATATATATATATATCAATTAATTTATTTTATAATTATAATTATAAAAAATTGTACAGCATACATCTATTACTTACCAATCATACTTTAACTTTCGAATAGTTACAGCCAAAATTCTAAAGATATAGCAAAAACGTCTACATCGCAAATTCTACAGCAATTAATCTACCGCTACAGCCTAACCAATCACCCACAAAATATTCTAATCTTAGACCTAGAGTATGTATGGGCCTACGCCCATAATTTCTTAATATCAAAAAAGAAAAAAAAAAATTCAGTGTTTACATTTCACATGGTATAAGATACCGCTGATCTATATGAGTACCTAAACGAGCTAAAAATTAAGATTTAGACCTAGACATTTTTAACTAAACAAATTTTAATTAATAGTACTAACCTAACTTCACACAGAATTACACTATTTTAATCGTGACTGCCTTTTAGAATCTTAAATTATTTGTCATGATGTCAGATATCTAGAAGTCCTCATTGATAGTGCCGCATTTAACACCCACCTAAAAGTCCGATTCATATCCGAACCGATCCGGAAGATACTAATGGGTGACACCCTTAAGGGTTCTTA